TTTTTTTTTTTTTTTTTTTTTTTTTTAACGGATTTTCGCTGGTAACTTGCTGCGAAGATCGATGGACTGTGGAAACTTACCATACAAAGGTCCATCTTAATGTTTCTTTATTGGTCGCTTAGACTGCTGTCTTACCGACCCACACAGTGATAGAGAACTGATGAGGGAGGGTATGGGAGCCTTCGTACTTTTTGTTACATTAAATAACATGTTTTCGATCCATATTAATAGATTTTGTAAAACATGAAGAAAGAAATAAAAATAAACAAATCATTAAATAGATTACTGTATGTATATTCCTCCTTACAAATAAATGTATCGTACAATTCCTGAGAGGCTATTAAAGTTTTGTATTATTAATGCTGTAAACGCTGTATTAAAATCCATGGAACATTAACGCCATCCCGTTGCCAAGTCCCATGTTATTGTAGCTTATTTAATGCAAGTTCAGTTTTCTTATTTTTTTTTATCACTCTGCATCCTCGAATTATCCCAAATGCATGAGAGAAAGGAAGGGGGATTTCGATGAAATTCTGCGTAATGGTTAATTCCTTTAGAAGACTTTATTTTTAGCTTTATTTTATTACAGCGCTAACGATTAATCAGTGGAAATTCATTACAGATTGAGAATATAGACGCTATCGACTACTGCTGAAATAAAACTTAATGTTGAAACAATATTTATATATGCGTATTAATGCGCTATGAAGGATCATAATTTAATTTTCCAATAGTATTAACATATCAAATCGTTTTATACCAACATTTTAAAAGCTACTTTAATATATAAACACACATGCGTACATACAATGCATTACATTCTATACATCTCCACAAATCGGACAAACGTTACGGTTGTATATCATCTATGGCCATTTTACGGAAGTGGATATATATAAGTTAAGTATAGAGGGCGAAATATAATACTGCAAATTAAAGACTATTTCTTGATTTGTTTCCACTTTTCGACTTAATAAAACTTTTTAGTGTTTTTTTTCTTTCTGCGTCTTCTTTATTATTTTTGAAGCTCAGACTTCAACTGGATCTAGATTACATTTGATCAGTATAAATCAATCATAGATCATTTCAACTTCTCATTATTTCTGTAGAGGATTTGGGGGCCCCAGCATCATTCAAATTTTGCCCCCCCCCCTCGCTTTCGGCAGGCAAAATTTGCCGTGTTTCACTGCGTGTGCTCGGGTATCTCGACCTCTGCACGGCCTTGTCTATAAGTACAGCAATTATTTAAAGACACTAATGCAAAATGAAATAGACACGAACAATTATTTTAAAATGAATTGTTTACCATCGTGTTGGATTGTTGAGACTTTAGGTATCTGTTCTCTAAAGCGCCACTTCCTGCACATGATTTGTAAACAAAAATCAAGATAAATGCTATACTTCCATCTGACTTTTTTAATAGCATTTTCTAAAACATCCGTTATCAAAATTCATTCATCTCTTGATATACAACCAATATGGTTTACATGTTCTTCGTAAAAATTAAACATAGATGCAAATATACAAACTTGATTCCACTCAGATTATACAATGTGACAACTGATAAATGCATTATTATAAAATGCAAATTGCAAAAGTATTGACTACAACCTAGTACCATTGATATATTTGACTAAGCAAACGTTAGCGCTTCTATCTGGTTTTTGTTATTGTGAACAAATCTTATTAAAGGTCTCAAAGTACCAATATGCTTTAAAACAAATTTTTATATATGGGAAAACTCTTTACTACACAAAGAAACATTGCATATATTTCAGTGTGTAATATGGTGTAAAAAGAATGATGGATAACGAAAGTTTTAAACCAGCAGATCAAAACTAGGTTAATGTATTCTAAGGAGAGTTATGTTTTCTGATGAAAAGGAGACATTATCATCGCTTAATCAATGATGGCACAACATTTTCATATACGAGTTTGCTGAGAGTTCTGTCAATACTTGTACAAAATTTTACATATAGATTTTCATATTTTGCCTTAAAAATGCAATAAATATTCTTTCGTCTTGAAAACAGCCACCGTGAGTGTCAATGCTTTGTTTTAGATTCAAGTGATGTAATTACACATACGGAGAAAATATTTGAGAAGTCTCTTAAGTAAGATTGTTTTAATCTTTTAAATTTTCAAATAAAGGGCACACGTTTGCACTGTCTCCATTTATTCGACCCACCCAGTGAACTAACAGATTATAAGCCAATAATATGCAAAGAGTGTCACTAATGTTTTTTTTTTAAATCAATGAACTTTGCTAATACCGGAGTATAACTGGTAAAACTTCTCTTAGCAATATTTGTTTTATCTGTTATTTTATTTTTACAGCATCTCATAATTTCTGTTTATGACAACAACACACTTCGCTCAGGTCATTGTTTTTGTGAGCTTTCCTGAAGAAACAGTTCAGTGTCCAGTGACATCCACATTTCACATTTTTTAAATTATATATAGCGTCCTCTTCTCGTGGTTGCTGTTGTTTTCGATTTAACGCCATCTGTAGCACTTGCTAAGCTATACATGGCGGCCAAAAATATTGCTGGAAAAAGAAGCTGGAAAACCCCGTTAAGAACCACTGACCCCCACGGGAAGCTACTGTCAAGCTTTTCCACTGACCTACTTTGGTGGAGCCTGAGATTCGAATCCACGCGGATAGAGGAATGGTAAAGGAGATAGCTTTATACAACTTGTTCCCCCCTTTTTTTAAATGGAACAGTTCTAAAACAAATCTGTTTGGTAGATTTAACTTTACCATTCGTCCTTAAAACGTGTTGACCCCTGGATCAAAACAGCACGTGAAAGCTGTGCTGTAATTTGTTGACGCAGTTGGAAAAGTGTATACCAATGAAGTTTTGTGTTAGTTTGATGTTTGATCGCATCTTTAACCAAAAGCACGAACGCAACGTCGTTGTGGATACTTGGTAGGAAAGATTCTTTGAAGTTTTCATTTTAAATCAATGCAAACACAACGTAAGGCAATGAAAGCATATTGAATCGTAGGCGACGTTTAGTCTAGCTTATAAATATGTTTGCATTTCTTTCTGTACAACCCCTTAAATATTATTATCGTATTTCGCTTTAAATAAAGAATGGTGTTTATGTGTGACTTATTTATGCACCTTATTATATTCATTTTCCGATTTTATTAGAAGCCTTCTGGCATTTGTTTTATAGTTGTGAATGAAGAAAGTGTAAAATTAGCAGCTCAATTTTCATTTTTCTCTGCAGACAATATAATGAATAAAATTTTTCAAAACAATTTTATAACAAGAAATATCTTCTAAAATCTCATTTTTTCGTTCCTTTCACTATGATTCATTGATTAAATTCAGCGTAAATATTGCTTTAGTTGAGTGCGTGAGAACCCAGATAATTCAAACACTTTCCTGTTGCTAATATACGGAATGGTTCTCTATTTTACACTGTTTTACGAGGTTAAATTTGATGTGATGTGATGTGATTTTGATTTTTTTTAACGTAGCTCTAACAATTTTTCAGTCATATCGCTACGATGTTTGAAGCGTGGCAATTTATAGTGATGACTAGTACTGGATCGTCATGCCGTAGATATGTAGCATGATGTCCCAACCAGTCACATTATTCTGACACTAGACTGACCAGTCCTAACACTAACCTCTAAATGCTGAGCGTCAAGCGAGGCAGCTGTAAGTACCAGGAGACACAGACTACATAACACGCCATCTTCAGATTGATCAGTAAGTTTCTCTGCGTGCGTTACTTTTTTCGTGAACCTCTCAATTACTCAGAACCCTGAACTACAGTTTGTATTCGTCTGCTAACTACAGAATATCCAACCATATGGCTTTCTGTTTCTGCCTGCTCTTACAAACCACGATATTATATTTCATAATTTGACGTCTGTTACCATTTTAAATTAAATATCGATTAATTTAGACTCGTGAAAACAAAATGACTAAAATTACACTTTGAACATTTTCAAATAAATAGATTAATGACTGAGTAATTTTCCTAGGATGCAGACTAATTTTAAATACCATCATATTTTCTTCTGTCAGCCACTGACATTGTTAAAAAACGTATTTTGGTCCAAATTTGATGCAAAAAAGTTATATGTTCAAAGAACCCGATAATTGATATTGCACAATAAGCTCCATAATTTGACATAAAATGCAACTTGTAACTGGATACCTCGATTAAAGGTGGTTATTTTGTGGTGATAAGGCATCTGTTTCTCCGACCTAACTTGTCAATTTTATTGGAAAAGTGACAAAGATGATCGAAGAATAAATGTGTTTATTAGCTGCACAGGGACAGGGATGAGAGCTAAATTAACCTGGCTTTTGCTTATGAATACCTTATCTCGATTTTGTTCATCAGCTACGCTAAAAATATACATGAACTATAATAAGTAAGGAATAGCAGTTAGTAAGCATTAATACGTGACAGAGAATCTTTTCGCAAATGGAGAGACAGAAGTATACATTTAAATAGACCTTTGTATATAGTCGAGCCTTTCTGAAAATTTATGAAGCCTTGTCGCTGTTAAGCAATCACTTGTCCTTCTTCTTAAGTGCCCTACAACCTTGAGAATAGAGTGAATCTCCTCCTAATCATCCACCGATATATATAGCAAGAAAGAGAAATTAGAGATCGAATTTAAAACGTGTAAAATAGCCAAAGGTCGAAAGATGTCACTTACTACATCCTAAGCTATTGTCCGATAAATCATCACCATAAATCTGTGTTGATACTGATGGACGGTATGCAATCTGATGTTTCCTGTTAATTGAAGTATGCAATTTTGCTGCATTCAAATATTTCCAGAACAAACTTGAGTACACTTTAGCCGGTAATTGGTAATAACCATACCTATAAATACGGTTGCGATATTCCACCTGGATTTACAAGTCACGAAACATGTGAGTTGTTCCAGAGATATAAGACCGCTCCGGTGGCCTAGTGGTTAGAGCATCCGCCTAGGATGCGTTAGGTCGTTGGTTCGTAAGACCGCTCCAGTGGCTTAGTGGTTATTGCGTCCGCCTTGGATGCGGGAGGTCATTGGTTCGATACCTGGTCGAGTCATACCAAAGACTTATAAAATGGTACTAACAGCTGCCTTGTTTGGCGCTCAGCATAAGAGGTTAGTGTTTCCTCTGGTCGGCTTGGTGTCATAATAATGTGCTGGGTGGGACATCATGATACATGTCTGCGGCATGATGCCCTAGTGCTAGACATCACTATAAACTGCAACACTGCTGACATCGCAGCGATATGACTGAAAAATTGCTAAAGCTAAAAAAATCTAAAAAAAATCCAAATCCCGGAAATATAATGTACATGCCACCAAAAGAACTCTTCAGCCCACGGTAGCTTCACAGCCGCGAGAAATAGCGTGTATATGGCTGCAGATTTTTGCATGTTTTAAGGAATAGGTATATCAGCCCCTACACAACCAATCAAAGTCATATCAGCCCCTACACAACCAATCAAAGTCATATCAGCCCCTACACAACCAATCAAAGTCATCATGGGCGAAGGACTGATTGGCATACCTAATCCAGTGCAAAAAAGTCTATCTTGTTTTTAATAATTGCCTGGAATGCCTAATACAGACTACAACTGTAGTCACCCTAAGATTTTTGACTGACTATACGATATTGGACCTGCAAACGTGCCTGAAAGTACCATGAAGGAAGAAGACTGCTGGGGTACTGAAAAATAGTAATATCGAGAAAACTTTGTTCTGAATTATAACAATGTCTGTCTGGGAGTAATCCAGCCAGACCACAGAAAATGACTAAAGAAAACCGACAGTCTGTCTTTAAACATAGTACACTCAAAATCAAATCAGAAGTTAATTTGCAGTGAGAACTCGGTATAATTTAAACCGATGCAAAACAGTTGTTCAAAGTTTACTTTGATAATTTTTAATTGTACTTAAGTTCCTTATATAAAAATAGATTTCAACTGCAACCGAATGTTTTTAACAAATGACATATACAACATCCGTTAAGAATACCATGGTTGGCTCAGAAGTTCATGTGTACTACATATAGAAACAAAATTAAACCAAACAAGTGAAACTTCTACAAAGTTCGTACGCATCATTCATAAACATATCTGAGAAGTTTTATGAAAATATTAAATTTAATTTATGAACTAGATTATGTTCTTTGTTATCTGGTAAAGATATCCAGATCATGGGTGATGCCTTATAACATCGTACGACTTGACGGTTTGGAGAGTAGAGTAGACCCAGAGCAGGAGATCTCCCACATTGTAAAACAGTCCGTAGATCAATCGGACAACTCCAATTATTCATGTTTTCGCCTACCAGATTCTATGGACTACTCCATATTCAAGAGTAAAATCTTCACAATTTAACGTTTAGTAATGCAATGGTGTGGTCCTCGACAGTCGTGGACATTCCTATGTCATGTTGTTCGTTCTTGACCTTCACTTCGTTCATTCTCGCCATGTGACAGTGTTCTTTTTGAAATCATTTATGCCACTTCGATTATGCTTTGCTGACATTTTTTTAAAAACCTATTTGTTTCAATAGGAAATTCCCAAGGAGAACGCTAAACTGCACAACGGCATACATTTTACTTCCAAAAGAATACGTTAAACTACACGACAATCTATACAACTAATTTACTTTCCGAAGAATACGCTAAACTGCACGACGGTCAATAGAGCTATTTTACTTTCCAAAGAGTACACTAAACAGCACGACGCTTGTAGAGCTGTTTTACTTCTAAAAACGCTAAAATGCACAATGATCTATAGAGCTGTTTTACGTCTCAAAGAGTACACTAAACAGCACAACGCTCGTAGAGCTGTTTTACTTCTAAAAACGCTAAAATGCACAATGATCTATAGAGCTGTTTTACGTCTCATAGAGTACACTAAACAGCACGACGCTTGTAGAGCTGTTTTACTTCTAAAAACGCTAAAATGCACAATGATCTATAGGGCTGTTTTACGTCTCAAAGAGTACACTAAACATCACGACGATCTAAACCGGCATCAGTCTTATATTGTTTTAAAATTTTAAAACAGAATTGAGTTAGTTATCAGGGATCGTGTTTATCTAAATAATATTAAAACATGAACAAATACTGAAATTAAAGCGGTATTTTAATGCTGTGTCAGGTTATTCTATGCGACCTGAAAAGAAATAAAGAATATTTTCTTAAATATTGCATATTTGAATAGAAAAGTGCCATACTGCTGAGGTCGGCCTTAGATTTATATTGTTCGCACTGTTTCGTTTTTATACACAGTGCCTATGAACTTATGGTTAATTCATGGTACTAAAAACAACCCAAAATAACAACAACCCAGCATGGATTAATTTTTGCCAACATCGCAATGTAAAATGATTTCGAATAGTACCCTGATCAAGTAAATGAAATAAAACAGGTATGGAGCAAAACAGCATATTTATCTCAGTACAGAAAAACAATTTAATAAATTACAAGGGCATATATTCTTCTCCTTTTTGTTCTTTCTCTTCATTATAGGATGTTTTAAATAGCCACGTAATATACATTGTTACCAAGTCATGTGACGTTGATTACTGTCCATTAACATCAGTCGTAATTACTTCGGATTTGAAATTGTCATTTTTTGTTGTTCACTTGGCTGGAAATCATGAGTTGTCATTAATTGTAAAGAATATCCTTAATTTATTAAGCATGACACTAGTTTTCATTTCAATTATGTTCCGATGCAAGCTGTCTGAACGAAAAAGGGTTATTTACACACTTTCTATTAACTGAAATGGGCGTCTTTTCATCCTGCCATTTCCAACAGTGTAAAGTTCCTAAGATTTTCAGCTAAAGCACAAATCGGCCTAAGAACGTGTCACAATCCTCAGTGTCATCATCTATGAACGAAATTTTGCCAGTTGTCGTATGCAAAATGATGTCCCACGGATAAAGCACGCGAGGGGGAGGGTCGGTCAGGAGTCATCCCTTTGTCCTTCAGTTTCATCCCTCTTTGTGAAGAATTAGGTAACCGTTTAAAAAATAGTTCCCATTGTATCTAAATCGAGTAGTTGACACGAGCCTCAACCTTTGCCCCTAGGTCAGTAAATTACTCCACAGGTGACAACTTCGCGCCGTAATCTGAAATGGTAACTGAACATAAAAGTTACTAAAAGTAGTTCTTCTGAACTACAATGGTAATGACAGGAACAAACGTCTAATTGCACAATTTTAGAATGTAGAAATCTATTTCCGCAAAGACAAATCATAAAGAAGATGAATAACCCCCAAATTTTTTCTGTGCATACATCTACATCTGTCCGCACGCATAATAGGAAATACAGCTGTTACTGAGCTATAATTTAATGAGCATAATAAAATTTTAATATTTAAAAAAACCTTTTCTTTGATCAAATTTTGAGAATTCCTCACCTAACATTGAGCCTGGGAGCGATAAAATGAAATCCCGTTAATATATTATGTACACTGCTGATATAACTGTATATGTCATTTGGTCAAAAAATATTACAAAATATAAGCGTGAATGTAATTTGTGTTTATTCAAAAGTAGACCTACCAATATAACTTAAGGTTAGTTCAAGTGGAAAGCATTAGGCGCAGAGAAAGATTTATGACACTTAAGCACAATGACTGAGTCCTAACATTCTTACATCAACCTTCATGGCGCGGTGAGATATTTACGGACAAGGTGTAACTCCCAAGCGAAATATCATCTGTCACTTCAGTTCTTGGGGACGAATACAAAGTAAACAGTCAGAAACGGTTAGCGCCAGGCAAATAATACAGATTATATCCCATCTTTTAATGTATGCCTTGTAAAGATATTTAACGTAATCCAAAATGTTAAGTACAGTCTCGTTTGCGATAATTGAAAACACTCGATTTACTTTACCGAATAAAAAAACTCTTCAAATGAACAAATATCGTCTTTTGGTCTTGATGTCACGAAAAATCTCAAATTTTCCTACTCTCTTTCAGATAATCGAATATCTGGCATACTGCAGTCATCAAGGAATAATAATAATAATAATAATAATAATAATAATAATAATAATAATAATAATAATAATAATAATAATAACAATTAACAATAATAATAATAATAATAATAATAATAATAATAATAACAATTATTATTATTTTATTATTATTATTATTATTATTATTATTATTATTATTATTATTAATTATTATTATTATTATTATTATTATTATTATTATTATTATTATTATTATTATTATTGATATTATTATTATTATTATTATTATTATTATTATTATTATTATTATTATTATTATTATTATTATTATTATTATTATTATTATTATTGGATTATCATGAAATTAGTCTTGTTTTATCCCTGAGAAAATTTTTTTGAGGATTTCACCAAATTTAAGGAATTCCTCGGCTCTTTTTCAAGATTGAAAGGTCTAACAGGTGTAAAAATTGAATAAAAATTTAGGAGTTATTATTCATCTTTTGTATTATGCCATCCTCTGAAACAATCTAATTTTTGCCCAGAATAACATTAAGTTAGATAATAAAAAATCTAACTGAAGAAAATGTTTGAGAAATTTATTGAAGTCGGGCCATAATCATTTTATAACACAGAAAACGCGGAGGACAATTTTTTTCATTTTTATTGACAAGCTTTTTGCAAACTAAAGTTATTTTCACATGGAAAACAATTTTATTGCGTTCTTGTGCCAAAACTTACTGCAACACAAGGCCCAATCCACATTTACGTCTAATGCATTTAACACTCATCTGAAATGCTATCAGGCCCGTCCCACACTTACGTCTAATGCGTTTAACACTCATCTGAAATGCTATCAGGCCCGTCCCACACTTACATCTAATGCGTTTAACACTCATCTGAAATGCTATCAGGCCCGTCCCTCACTTACGTCTAATGCGTTTAACACTCATCTGAAATGCTATCAGGCCCGTCCCATACTTACGTCTAATGCGTTTAACACTCATCTGAAATGCTATCAGGCCCGTCCCACACTTACATCTAATGCGTTGTAACACTCATCTGAAATGCTACCAGGCCCGTCCCTCACTTG